ATCATTTAATAATTATGCAAAATTCTACTTTCAGATTGCTATTTATTTAAATTTTTAATGCTGCAACTGTTCCAAAATAATCTTGTAGTAAAGGAAAAATGCAAATAAGAAGTGGAAGACCAATTTTACCCACAGTATTCAATTATTTGAATATAAAAAGAATAAGATCACGATTTGACAAATTAAAATAATCTTTCATGAACTCTTTCATGAATAACATATTAAACAAAAATGGAAGTTATAAATCAGTGGTAATGGCTTATTCTGGAATATATGACCTCTGTACATCATCAGTACCTGACTTGGTACAGTATAGTTACTACTTGGATACAGAGTTAGATTTAATAATGTAATAATAAGAACAATATATATTATAATAATAAACTTCTCTGCACATATCAGACGCTTGTTACCATGAACTAACACTACCTGACAATGGGCTGAGCACTTATCACAGAGTCTGTGTGCCATGCCATTCTTGTGCTGTGATTGGTTAGTTGAGTCACGTGAAGCCCTACTGTTGCGCCCTCGCGTATCGCGTAAATGCTGCACATTTCTGGCCATGTCACTTTAGGTTCGAACAAGTGACTTAAAAAGTATAATATAACGCTTGATAATCCTTATATCGAGCCAATGTGATGAAACACGTGTACTTCAGTAGCGGATTTTTTTTGGGGGGGTGGTCAAGGGGGGGGGCTGAACCACCCAACCCTCTTCGATTTCTAAAAAAACACCAATGGTCCCCACTTGAAATTAGAATTTTGACCTGCTGAATCATAGTTCTAGACCGTACCAAATGGCACCGTTCGCCCTATTAAATACCAAAAATTTCCCGGGTCTTTCAGCGGGCCAAGAACCCTACGCCAATTGGGAGGGTCGGTTTCGCATCCGCGGTCCCTCCCCCTCCTTCACATTGTCCTGGATCCGCCCCTGTACTTGTAGACTTCATGAAGAATGCTAAATATCAATTTGTCTATTTTCATCACAGAATTCAAATTGAAAACACGTGTTATTTGGTCGAACCCGTATCATTAGGGAGTAACTAATTCTATATACTTGCAATGAGCACGTGCATTTCCGAAACTGAAACAAGTTAAATTCTGGAAACAGCGCCTGTTACATCTCTGCACAACTTCTATTTCATTGTTCATGCTGTGCAGACATTTCGTTGAAAGAAGAAACCCACTACACATCTACACCTTTTGCGTAATGTTTATTGAATCGGCTCTTTTATTGTAATCTATAACAATACATGTACTTCCCATAACACAAGTCACATTGTGCATGGTGTCACGATTCTTTATGATTTTTCGAGTGCCGAAATTTTAATACAGGAACACTTCCTTTACTCCAGAGTTTTATCGGTGAAAAATGGATGCTCCGGCGGATCAATAAAAGCCACGCCTCTTCCGGTCACTATCATGGCGGCGCCGTTTTTGCTGTCGTCTGCTAGCAGTTTGATGGCGCTTTCGGCAACCACAGAGGCCCTAAAGGATCACAGAGAATGTACTTAATAACCTTTTTTCTTAATTTCAGAAATCAAAAAGACTACAGAAATGCGATATTTTTTCTTTAAAATAATATTCTATTGAGATAAACAACGAACTATATTCAGTGTAGTGAAATGATGTTTTTCATTTCTCTTGTTTAATGAAGAAACATAAAAACAGTCCTCAAGAAATAGTCTGAAAAGAGCGATTTTTTTTCTGTGATACTCTATGAAAGATCAAGAGCGTGTGACTTTAACCTTTTCAGTTAATTACCAGCTTCTGCCCGATCCAAAATACGAAAATACAATTTAAATCTTACTTGAGCATCCCGTCAATATTTTTGCAAACGTAATCGGACAGTTTTTCCGCGTGGTGGATTCCTCTTTTAGAGACACTGTCAGCGGATTCTAGGCTCCGCACCATGGGCGTGTCCGTGAAATCTGGACACAGGCAATTCACCCTTACACCATGGGTGGCCATACTCGGCGACAAGCTGCTCTGAAAGTGACCAATTGAACGGGTGGCATTTTGTCTCTTTCTTTTGGGGTCTTGGATGACGACATCGGACATTTCAGCAGAATTAATTGGCAGGAATCAATTTATTTGACTTACGTTTTACATAAAAATATGTAGAGCTTCATCCTGTCAAAATGGCATTTATTGTACTTTTTCATCTTTTTCAGTAGTGTATGATAGCGTTCTTCAAGACCAAATTTTACTCATTGCATTTAAGCATAGACTAACACTGTTACTGAGAAATAATAGAATGTCTTACATACTGCCAATGAGCGAGTGTATCCCACGACGCCATGTTTGCTTGCACCGTAGACAGGGTTGCAAAAAGACGGCTTCAACCCTGATGAAAATTTTAAACAATAATAATAAAACAGACAACATTTCAAAACTTCAGATCAAAGGGGTTATAACGACACACGTAGGTACAAACCGAGCCCTTAAATAAATGAAACAGGGGTATCTTGAAGTTTACTAAATTTTTTCACTGTATTTTAATTTTAAAATGTAGATATCGTTGTGCAAAGAGCCCAAAGGCACAACAAACGGGTCAAGAATGCACTCTTGTAAACATGTGCCTATTTGTGCGCATGCGCAGCCACAACTGATTTCCTGGTTTAATATAAACCTACCCGATACAGAGGCTGTATTTAGGATAACCCCGCCGTTGCCTCCTTGGTCCTTACGGAGATGCTTTAACCCGAGTGTGGTTCCACGTATTACAGCCGTCTGATAAAAACAATATAATCCAGAGCGGACGTAAAAGATAGGAAGAGAGAAAAGGGATAGGGCCTATGAAGATACAAATATTCAAAAGAAAATATCTCCTTTGCCAATGATACGTTTTTTAAACATTTATGCTCTATATTAGATGAATGGTAGGCTTTTAACGGGCGTCTTGTACTGAAATTCTCTTCCCGGCTACTTCCTAATGGAGAACACAATAACATTATCACTAACTGTGTCATTAATATCAGTCAAAAGAATTCTACATTTACCAAATTGATATTTATTAACAGCTCGAAGTCCTTCTCGTTCATGATTCCAGCGTTATTCATGATCACATCTAGCCGTCCAAACTTAGACTTGGTCCTCATCAATGCATCTGTTTCATTAAGAACAAATCACAAGGGGTAGGTTATGTTTTGCCAAATAGAGGTACTGTAACCGCGTATATAAATGAGATTTGTGCAATCAACCATATTCGTAACTAGTTTTATGTCGCTAGCATATCATTACCAACACACTGCTAATATAGTAGTATTATTAGTTTTATCGTAAGAATAAGAACTAGAAGAGCACTCAGAGAGCGCAGACCTCCGCCAAGGCAGCAAAATCTCCATCCAATGCAGTTTCACCACTAAATTTTCGATATTTTTGATTATTGATTGATTATTGATCCGGATCACCACCAAAAGCTAAACATCTGTTCCTTGGCCCACTTCTGACAGTTACTGAAAATTTCATCAAAATCGGTCCATACTTTTTTGAGTTATGTTGATGACAGACAGACAGACAGACAGACAGACAGACAAACAAACAAACAAACAGGGGTAAAAACATAACCTCCTTGGCGGAGGTAATAAAGAAATATATTTTGAAAATGGAAATCTTATTTGTGAACAATCATATTTCGACTGATGTCGTGTACGATATCATAATACTTGGCATTTTACCACGAATTTTAGCATCTTTGGTGACGTCGCACTTTATAAATGTGACGTTTTCCTCGCCATGTTGAGTCGCCAGTTTATTCAAGGCCACAGATCCATTTGTTTCATCGATGTCTGCTATTGTGACCTAGGACAGAGATATGAAACACTGTTTACTTGACTTAATTGGCCTCTTTTTAGGACAAATATGTGTGTATGTATGCGTTCAGCATAATATCCTCTGCCATAATTCATGTTCAACATATCATGAACTGTAGGCCCCTATTTCATCTATGCGTTTTGTTAAGAAAGGAAAATTGTCAGTATGAACAGATACACGCTCCTGAATACCAGTATCTGGTATCAGACTTTTTCATAGCGTAGTTTTAGACAAATTCGCGTGTTCTTAGCTGCATTATACCAGGTGATTACCTGATCTATATGGATGGATCATTGAAAATTAGTATTCATACCTGCTGTATTTTCCCCATTTTTATAATGCGACGTTTGTAGTTGACTATGTTCCCTCAAAACGAACAACCTATCCTAGAAACTTAATCAACCTCCCTGATTTCTATTCAATCAGAATTATAACCATGGCAGTGCTCTGCATGTCTGAACGCCGTCTTGTAACATTTACGTAGTGAGACAATCTTCAGCATTTGTCCATTGATTTTAGCCTTTAATTTGGTCGTCTGCAAAATGACTATTTGAATACAACTCGTTCAAGTTTTGTGAAAAAGACGATCCAATTGACGCTCAACGATACTCTAATTTATCAAAAGTAGTAGAGGGCCTACAATTACAGTTTTAGGGGCAATATGGGCAAACGTACTTGTGGAAAAAAATGAACGTGGGCTTTAATTTATCAAAAGTTGTACACTAACGGTTTATTTGGAATAATAAGAGAAAACGTACTTGTGGAAAAAAAGAGCGTGCACAGGCTTTACAAAACCCGTCTTGGTAGTAAAGCGACACCAGGTGAACTTTATTTTCCCCAATTTTCGTGATTTGGTAAATAACACTGGAAGGATAAAGCTGCATCACGCAAAACAGATGAGTGTCCCTTGTCTTTGTTTGCACTGCACGGGTCGTTTGCATTTGTTAACATTTAGGATGACATTTCCGAAGCTGAGCTTGCACGAATTTAGCGTCACCTTACGTGACAACTTGGTCTATTTTTATTACAAACACGAACTTTTGACCTACATGTACGTATTCGAGAAAGGTTGTTTATTGTGCGTGTCGGTGATAATTACCTTGTAATGACGTACCGTATGTACCTTTACTCGATAAGGTCTCCTATGAAAACTTGGTTGTGATACCTATGGATTATCGTACCTATTACAACTAAATTATTATAATTATAACTCTACCTTAGCCCCGTGTTGTAGCAGTAGTTCGGCTGTAGCATAACCGATTCCCGATGCTCCACCAGTAATAAAAGCCACCTTGTCTTTAAGATTCATCTGGAATTGGCACGTGAAAAATAAAAACGAAATTAAGCGTGTTATTCAAGACACTTTACACCTTATCTCTTTGGCGTGGTTTATCAATATTTTTTTCTTACTTTTGCGTTATAATTTCCCAATTATCTGGCTCCATTTTTCATCTCTTTTAGATACTCACTTCTGAACACTGCGTTCAAGCACTTGTTTTAACTCTTAGAGGAAATATTTCATACACTTGTAGGTTATACAAAACGCATATCTATACATCCGAGTCATTTGAAAAACATACCTTGTTATCAAATGCCAGTATCACAGATGGCGAGATGAACAAAAAGCTATGATAACCTAATTGCAATTCATATACAGGCTGAGCTTGTATGAATTATTTTCAAACCTGTTTACAGTATATTCATCATTGTCTCGTTAACAACAGATTTTGCCCTGTTACCCGTGTTTTACAACAATGACAAGCTTTTTTTCTACGCTTTTAACAAGTTTTTACTTCATTTTTTTACAATGCACAAGGACACGACTCGATGTATCAACAAAATGCAGCATTTAGCTGTTATGAGTCTGTGAGGACAGCTATATTGTATGTGTGACGCTGTCTTGTTTAAGACAGCCACTAAAAGTGGGAAACTGTGCATCTTTATTTTATCCAACTCATTTTAAGACAAACACGCTCTTGTCAAAAATGATGGGATGTTTTCTAAGTTAGAGACATAAAAAAATTATTTCAAAGTTCTCCATAGTGGTTGCCATAAAACCAATAAACAGTTTTCAAGTTACGAAAGTGGACTCAAATCCTTGAGTCATGCAACATGGTTGGAATTGTGTAACCTGTATAACAGAACTTTTTGTTTGCGGTTGAAAATATTTTTTGGATATGTGAAGGGCGCCAATGACGTTAGCCCTAAAGAAACTTGATAACCTTTGTGGGTGAAGTGCTTTGCACGAAAACAAAAATTCAACTAAGGTTTTTGTTTGGCTTTTTTTTATTATCGAACCCATGCATCAAATTCATGCACATAGTCCTAATAATCTGTTTGTATTTCTGACCAAAGCCTGCTGTGTATACGTATTGCTTTCACTTTATCAGTGGATACGTTTTCTCGCCTCCTTCTGTGTGTCAGTTGTTTTGATTCAGGTTCATCGTTTGAGATTAGCTCTGTCCGTAAAATACGGGTGTTCTGGGGGATCGATAAACGCCACGCCTTTGCTGGTGATAAGCATCGCAGCGCCATTTTTGGTTTCGTCTGCTAGAAGCTTGATGGTATTTTCCGCGATGTACGAAGCCCTGCAATAAGCATTTGGGTTTCTTGTATAATATCGTTTTTGATACACCTAAAATTTGTTGAGATTTTAATTTCAGACACATGACCCAGACAGGGCACATGTCTCGCCTGGTAGTCCCCTAGATTTACTTTACCAATACGAATGGAACAATAAAAGTTCCCCAAATCTCTCTCCCCCTCCCCCACTCTAACGGGTAGTTTGAACAAATTTATAATTTATTGACCACTGTCAAGTGCTTTGCCCATTGGACAGATAGTAGGTCTGCCAAAAAGCCTTAATGATGATAACTACTAGCTTTACATTAATTTACATTAATTTCTCGTATGTTACCACAAAATTAGGGCTTACAATAAACTTAACCCCTGTGACGACCCGATATGTCCGACAGGCAAGATATGTCCTACGACCGGACACATCTGGCTCTTTTTTGTCGGACATATCTGGCCTGTCGGACACATCTGGCTCTTATTTTGTCGGACATATCTGGCCTGGAGGACATATCTGGCTCTTTTTTGTCGGACATATCTGGCCTCCTCTGGTCGTAGGACATACCTCGCCTGTCGTACATATCAGGTCATCAAAACCCCAACGATTTAACATCCCTCAATGTTATTATAAATGTAGGAATTAGGGTGTTATCATTATAATGTCTATCTTAAATTAAATAGATAAGTAATATCTTTATTATTTTAGTTTTAGTTCACATTCATTCAAATAGTGAAAAAAATACGATTGCCCAAAAAATAATCATTCAAAATCATACTTGATCATGTCGTCCACATTTTCTGAGACGTAGTTAGACAGCGCCTGCGCGTGGTGAATCCCCCTTCTGTTGAGGCTGTCTACAGATTCCAGGCTCCGCACCATTGGCGTGTCAGTGCATTCGGGGCACACGCAGTTAAAACGAACGCCATGGACATCGATATCGGCCGCCATACTGTTCTAAAAATGGGAATAAATACAATGGCGTATTCAGTTTTCTAACTGCAGATATGACTTTACATGCCCCATTTTAACATGTGTTTTGATACATTTGGCGGAATGGCGAACATACTTATGTAAGTGTGCCTCATTACTTAACGAGAATGGGAAAATTAGAACTAGAATATTTGTCATGAAGATACTAATAAAACGTTTTTGATATGCATAAGGTTTATATCATATAGTGGCCCTAGAAAACAAATACTAAATACCATACATTTCTGCATTTGAGTGTCATTTATCACTGAATAACTGGCCCCAGCGAAAGTGCAATTATAGAAGCAGTAGGGCCCACTTCTTACCGCCATAGAGCGAGTGTATCCCACGACGCCATGTTTGGTTGCAGCGTATGCAGGGAGGCATAATGACGGTTTTAATCCTGAAATTAGGCTTCATAACTCTTTTCACATACCAGTAATTTAACACATTTGTTAGTTCATGAAAAAGACATTACCGAAGGCCAACTCAATTAAAGGCAAAAAGGCAAACAGGCGTACAGTCTCACTTTTTTATATTATTTCATTTAAGTTTTGTTCTTACCTAAGCAGCTCTAAAATTTCTCTATAATTAACACCATCATTCTTAATATCTTAATTCTTAATATCTACCTGATATAGAAGACATATTAAGTATAACGCCACCGTTGCCACCTTGGTCTTTGCGCAGGTACTTCAGCCCCAGCATAGTACCGGTTATGACTGCTGTCTGGAATGACATCCATATTATTGTGGAATGATAATGAAAAATGGGTTGTGATACGCAGAATTAACTGTCTAACTGTCTCTCTGTGTTACTGTGTTGTGATTTTTTGTTTGAATTTGAATGACTGTGTTGTTGTTGGAGAGAGAGAGAGAGAGAGAGAAAGCAATGTTATACAGGAGATAAGATTAATTATTAATTTAATGATAAAGTTATATGTAAATAATTGGAACAGTAAAAACATATGACATATTAACATCAAGACTTAAAAAAGATTTATGTGTCACAATTTCACAACAAATGTGAAACAGTTTTTAAGGTTTAGTGTAATCTTCGTATCTTACCAGATTGACGCTTATCAACAGTTTGTAATTACTTTCGTTTAAGATACCAGCGTTGTTCATTATAATATCTAAACGTCCAAATTTGGCAATAGTCTGCTTGAAGGCTTCTGAAATTAATCGGCAAAAATTTTTATTAGTTGACAACACTGAAAAGGGTTACTTTTTTCAATTTAAAAGACTAAAGAAAAGATCGTGAAATTATAAATTTAGAAGAATTTTTTTTAAAGTTAGAAAGTACAGCAACATATTTTCAGGGCTCGTTCTACCACATAACCTTTCTTAAGAAACTTATTTCGATATGATCCCAATATCACATTTATTTGACTCTACTGCAACTGATTTTGTCGCCTTTCGTCTTCAAAAATTACCTTCAATATCACCGTCCTCAGTGACGTCACATTTTACAAACGTGACGTTTGCTTCCCCATATTTCACTGCCAGATTTGATACGGCTTTCCTCCCAGCCTCCGAGTTGACGTCTATTATAGCAACCTAGATTATGAATGGATTCTATGTAGTTGCCACGGCTGCAGACTAACACCCCATTTCCATAGATTAGATCGACCTACTTTAGATCGACCTAACTCCCTGGGGATTCACGCTAAATAGCTGTCAGCCGGGCGGACACGAAAGTTAATTACCCTCATACAGCTTGTAGTAGGCGGGACGGACATTTAAGTCGGATTATCTGAAAGTAATCTATTGAGACTCCCCGCGGGGATAGATCGATCTAAAATCTATGGGAATAGAGCCAAAGAAAAGTGGTGTTAGTTGTGTGTGTGTGTGTGGGGGGGGGGGCTCAGCTTTTCAAAACCTGTGCGTGCTACATCTAGACGCTGACAGAATAAAAGATTAGGAAGTTGGGAAGAATATCCTGGGGTAACAGCCCCTCCCCCCCCCCCCCAAACCCCTACCAGGTGTATCCCTGGTCTTAACCCAACGTAAGAACACTGTCCCGTGACTTAACAACTTGACAAAACTTGTCCTACTTTTGTTGAGACCGACTCTCCATAAAATGGTGGTAGGCCTATTGTGTTTCAAGTCACATGAAAACGTAACAGAAAGAAAAATGATGTTATTCTCTTATGCACCCAGTCATCTATCATTTAAACTATTTGCAAATGCTATTTCTTGTTATCACGTCTACTCCTGACGATGTAATTTCATATCTATTACGTTTTGTTGTGGTCTTATGTCATTTTATGTTAGTTTAGTGCTGTTAAACAGTATATTTTACAGGACAATTGCGTCTGAAAATAGGTCAAACGTGGCATCGTTGAAGCCCGCCTAAGGCAGAATGGTGAACCAGACACATTATCATATAACAACTGGATTATCATACTTTAAACTCTACCTTAGCCCCGTGTTGCAATAAAAGTTCGGCCGTGGCATAACCAATACCTGATGCTCCGCCAGTAATAAATCCAACCTTGTCCTTAAGATTCATTACAAGTTAGTAAGCATACATGTATTTCTGTGCTTACTAAGAAGAACCTTTTTGTTCCCCGGCCCTGCGAAAGCGGTGGGCTCACATGACACTGGGGTTGAAGGTCGTTGATGGGTGAAGAGATTGAAGACTATTACTAAACATGCGCTGTTCTGTTAAATTTTGTCAAATGTGCACGATTTTCAACAAGAGAAGGTGTGTGGAAAGAGGACCGTGCGCTCCGCTATTGGGATACAACAAAGATATGGAAGACCCTCGTGCTCGTATAAATTGTACTTGCTTGTTAATACTCAGTGCAAGTTGTGCTGTGATTATTTTCGTTTTCGTTCGATTTTATTTATTTTTTATTATATTTTTCATTTCTTCGTAAAAATCGGGGAGAGAACATGCTGGTAATTAAACTAGTCGCTTTTATGAGGTACCCGTACGTTAATTCTAAACTGCCTTTATTTACTTGGCCTCTATCAGCGCAGCCGTCCACCAGCCTTGACCTATCTGGGCATATAACACACGAATTACGACCCAGATGTGTAATTATTCTTTTGTGAGCCTGTGTGATAGGAATGGTTATACCAGGAATAGAAGTCCGTGGCCCCAAATGTTAAGTACAGGTTAGGGTAAGCCGGTTTAACAGAAATGGTAGTCCGCTAGGAACCGTGGTCTGCTTCCCATTACTTTGTACCGGTCACATTCGTTCCATATACTAATCCCAATACTCCAACTAATCCTAACCTGGACTAATCATATGGGAGCATGGACTTCCATTCCTAGAACTACCATTCCTGTTACAAAGGAAAGATATATGTCCACAGATGGTACGAATCCCAACTGTACAAAGTAATAGGGAAAGGGGCAACGGTCCCTCGGGGCTTACAACCCCTTGCCACGCGGGCTAGCTCGCTGAGGTAGAAAAACGACGTGATATAAACGGGGCATAAATAAGCCACTTCGCGATGGATGTCACGTGTAGAGTGAAATGCAACCGAATTGTGTTAGGTGTGATCTTATCGGGCTCCAATGAGATCAGCATAAGATCTTCAAAGCCTGTTTAACGCAATATTTTGGATTTTTCTCACAAATTCACTACCGAAATATTGTAATCACACAAAATAACTGTGCGCACCAACCCCTTCTAGATTTATTTTTAATTAATCAAAGATGCATTTAAAATCTAAACATTTTCAACATAAGAATCGATGTCGAGACTTAAGAATATAATTTATTTATTTTACTTTCACCATCTTTTTCTTCCACTTTTTTTGCTGCACTCAGACAACACTGTTAACAAGGTGACAAACCTCATTTCAGTATATGTACCAAAATAAATAAAGAAAAATCCACTTCTTTCATTAAAATCAAGAAGTCACCTGACAAAAAAATGTTCAGGACGAGGTCCAAACTTTCCTCCACCTAGAAAAATTCTTTTCTGTTGTCAGATAAACAAGCATCATACAACCAAGTGGCAGGTACTGTGACAGTACTCCTGACAATACGAAAACTCCGTAGTCATAACATTTCTAGGTAAAAATCAATAGGCATCTGACGACAACTCAAACAGAACATCGTCATCAAAGGAGGCATCCGAGTCATCGTCATTGTTGTCGGAGTCCATCTCGAAGAGCTCCTCCTCCTCATTATCCTCCTCCTCCTCGTTGTCCTCTCTGCCATCCTCCTCCTCAGCCTCAGAACCATCTTCCTCGGAACCCGGCTCAAACTCCATGTCTGGAAAGGAATAGAATTTTTTTTATCAATTTAATTTGTGTTAAACTTGAAGTCTCGGTATCAGAAAAAAATAAGAAAATTATGTCATTCATTCCAGTTCAAGGAAAATGATATCATTTTATGAATTAAAGGCATCATTCAAAATCATGTCCAAGGATTTTGATGAAGTTATAATATATGTTGGGGGGGGAAAAAATGGGGCCTTTAATTCAGGTATACACAGCAGTTACAACTAATATATACCTTTCTTTTGGATGAGTAAGTGTCCACGATGATTATATCATTGAAAAAAAAAGAAACTTTGAAAAGAACTGTTTACTTATTTCCATTATATTAATTTTTTAGTTCCTATTACTTAGATGATATCAATGCTACACCATTTGCATCAAAAATACATTTTCTCTACTTTTTGCTCCATTTTAATCAGTCCAATTATACATACCAACATTATCTTCTGCATCATCATCCAGCTGAGAGTCATCATCTTCATCTTCTTCTTCCTCAGCTGCTTCTTCCTCCTCTTCCTCTTCCTGTGAAAATAAAGTTATAGTTTTACATTTCACTAGCTACACTGTATTAACTATTTCTTTAACTTGTTCACGAACTTATTTGCCACAAAATTAAAGTTAAATTGAATCTGTTCAAATCAACGTCTATAACATATTCACTGGATCAGTGGCTCATTGGTTTGAGACATTTGACTAGTTCCTTTCTTTTTAAATTTTTTCTCTTAATAAAAAGGAAAATCACTTAAAGCAACTGAGCAGACTATGCAAGACAATTACTTAGAGTTACAAAGTTGTGTGTGTGTGAACACACACAAACTAAAGAAACTAGGTCTTACTTGGTCCTCTTCATCACGAAGTCTGCCAACTTCATACAAACGACAGCAACTCTCTTCTGATAGCCCGTCATCAATTTTCTGATTCTGGAAGATGCAAGTAAAAATTAAATACATTTCAGAGCCATCATAAACTGCTGTTTGTTTTTGTCCATTGAAACAAATTAGAAAAAGAAGTGAAATCTGGTATGATGAAAAAAATTTCAGAGCATGCCCAGGAATATTAATAAATTATATATAAATAAAGAGCACACTTAAGATGCAGAAAATGAGTAGACTGTTCAACTGTTCCTGACAACAACCCTATCTCACCTCTATCACAGCTAGGAAACTGTCCGAATTATCCCCACACAGATCAAATATGTCCTTCTTCACATCAATTGTGGCTGAAACATTGGACAACACTTTCAGGTTTTGCCTCAAAGGTACCTCAGAGAGGCGTGTTTTAGTTAACATGCAGAAATTTTCAGGTAACTAACACACTTGAGCCATAGTTGAAATGAAAACCTAGTCCTACTCTGTCACTTGGGATTGAATTACGTTCCAATCTTGGCAACTGGTGCATGGTTTCCATCCAAATTTTTTATATTTGTTTGTGACTTCAAATTAATTTAATAATGTTCCATAATAGTATGAACAAAACTAGTTCACATCTCATATCTTACCTATATTACTGTAATCTGTGGCATCAAATGTCCTGAATGAAGATCCATATGGACTCTTAATTGTATTCTCTGCTAACTCTTCATCTTCTTCCAACTGATGAATAGCTGTTGATACAAAATAACATAACATAAAGGCAATTCACATCTTTTGTCAAAATGGCTTGTTATAACATGTTATCAATCAACTCAAAATCTTGTGAATTTTCACCCATAACCCAAATCGATTTTATTTTTAAGATAACAATATTCAGTTTCAAAAACAAATAAAACATCAAACTTAAGAGAATACAAAATAATTAAAATTTAAAAGTGTAGAAGATATTGAGACTGAACAAAGAAGGAAAGAAATAGACCTTTATATCGTGATCAACACAAAGCACAATCACCTCTCAATCACACTTACTACAATCACATCTGAGTCACACCTAACACAATCACAACCAAATCACATCTAACACAATCACAACAGAGTCACACCAAACACAATCTAGGTCCACTGCTGTCCCACTTACCACCATATATAATGTCCCCTGCTGTGTTAAACCTGATCACACACTGGTCTAGTGCAGGCACTGTGTGGAGGAGGTGGAAGGTACGCAAGTCCCACTATGAGAGCAGTTGAGGAATGTCACAGAAACATGATGAAGGGAACACTAAAGATTACCAAGACTATGAACCAAAAGCAAAATAGATGATTATTTTGCCTCAGTATTTACTTTTATAAAGGTAATACTTATGGTATTACTTGTGAAGAGGTTTGTCTTTGAGTTGTATTCACTTCCACAGTAATATACCTTTGGCCTTTATGGCATTTCATACTACTTCTTTTATAATAAAAACAATGCAGTTATCTAACATGTAAATAATTTTATACTATAGCCACAAGATAAAAACAACTTCACAATGATATCCCCCCCTCCCCCCGTCTCATTTGTGTTTCCTGTTGCAGCAGCTTGCAGGTAAAAGGATACCACTTCAGAATTTATAATTATTTCCAATCCCATAGGGTGAAAAACCCCACTAATGTGTGGGTTAAACTTGTCAAACTTGTGGATGGGTTTCCCGCTGGCAATATCCCATAATACTCCGTCATTGAGGACAAGGTCATCTGTGGAGTTAAAGGTCGCCCTGTTGCGCGTGTAGTTATTGGCCTTGTCCTGATCAAATAAGGTCATTAGTAAGGTGCCTGTGTTGATATCATAAATCTGAAACAGAACAAACAAACACTGAAAACACAACAGACTGAGGAATAATAATAAAAATAATTTTAAATCAAACCTGATATATGCTACAACTGCTTTTGCAATTTTTTTCTTCATTCGACAGGTTATAACTGTGACTGTGGTACTAAAAGAAAACAAGAACTATTTGAACAATTTCAATTGTCACCCGTCACTTACATGAGCTGTTTCGTCTTTTGTGCCTATAATTTTATCCTGAGATTGCTTGCAGAACTCCAGATAGTGGTCCTCCTCAAAACCATGCCTGACAGAAAACAAACATTTTAGAAATGTTAAAGATACACATTGTAAACAAACATTTACAAAATACACAACACTCCCTCTTCAACACGTTCATTTAAGAGTTAACATGTATCCGAGTTTTCTACTCATTCTTGTCTAGCCATGAAAATTGCCTTCCATATTTGTAACCAAGCAAAGCATAGTGAAAGTAGTTTTACTACAATTTTCCCTGCTAGTATTTAACATGTGCATATAAATTTTATAATAAATAGTTTTTAACTATTTTCTAAGATTGCTGCAAAACCAATGTCATAAACTCCTTTCACACGTACATCATATCAAATATATTGTCCATTTTCCAAAGAGCAGACAAAGGTCTTCCCCAAGATGATGATGTCAGCATCAGCCCTCCATCCTGAAAAGATAGCAGTAGGCGTAGGCATTAGGTCTTCAGAGCCAATGGAATGATAATAGATTCCTATTTTCGTAATACTTTATCTTTCATACTCATTGTAGTTAAAACAAATAGGTCATTATGACTTTTATGTAAGCTTACTGTGGGATTCCTCAAATTTGAAAAAAATTTACTTCAATCAAATGGACATTATGTCAGTGTTGACTTACCCTAGTTTTTAGTCGCATTAAAAGGTTCTAAGTGGTTTCCATTTTTTAAGATTACATTTAAATCCTTTCTTATCAGGAGACTTAATTCTTTCTTATGAATCTGAACCTATATCTTGGAGCATTATAAAATGTGTCTTGGACAGCAAATCTTACCCTGGACTGCTCCAAATGTGTCAAGGGTGAAGAGTGACAGACATAGGACCCCGCTTCCTGAAACAAGATTATCAAAATGTTTTTACCACGACATATTAAATGAAATTCAACTGTATACCGTCATCTTTTCCAACTTCAACTAGTCGACGTGTTTTTTTCTTTTTTCTTTTTCAAATGTAACATTAATACAACATAATTAAACTGTCCAGTTCTGTCCTGTTCTTCGTTTCTTACTCTACAGTTAGCCATTTTGCACTGTTTTATTAAAGTAATATCAGATTTTAGTTGAATTTCTCACACATTGCATCAATTTCTAAATAGAGGAGAAAACCAATACAAACTTCAGCTGTCTGTATGTTGAATAACTTCAGTTCTCCTGCATACGTTCCCAACATCAAGTAATCCTGGCCATTCTGGAATAAATAAAGGTCACAAACATGAATGACAATAATGCTTCATCATTTCCCTGAGTCATTTACAGAGGACAATGTTATACAGAGAATAATAATAGTGCTATCCAGGTCAAAATGCACTAACTCAACAGCATACAATTTGTATCATTCTAGCAAACAATATTTTGTTTGATACTTCCAAAAGGGCTTCATAAAAGAGGAAGTATTTTATATCACAAACTGCATACAGTAGTTAGCAGAGCTAGTTTGACTCAATACTGATCACATTAATATGTAAAATTAACATGAAAAATATTTTTTTTTAAATACCGACAAAACTTACAGAAAAAGCACAGCAAGAGAAGCAGTCATCCTCTTCATTATCCCTATACGACCTGACTGGCCGAAATCTGAAGTAAACAAAGGACCAAGTTTTAACCAAATTAAATGACAAAGGAAACATCTCCCCTCTTAAAATTTCTCAGATTTATTCCAACTAACATTTATGTTATAATTCATGCTATTTCGCCAGGCCACAGTAAACCCATATGGAACATTGCATGGTTGGTGAACAAATTAGTAATGGGTACTGATCATCTATCTGTGGAATTCCAAAGTCAAAAAAATCCACAATTTCTTCATCACGAACTTAATATCTCACATATAAAATGTACCTTGATCAGTTTCTTGGCGGCACTTGCCCCATTTTTAAAGAAAAAAGTTCAGAAATAATCCATTCCTGTGACCATATTCACTTACTTGCTATATACATGTTTCCTGGTGAGTTTAGCACCTTCTATTCCACCATAAGGCGGTAAGATCTAGAGAAGGAAAAGACAGAGCTCACTGTAACACTATGTCTAGAACAGAGAATATCAGGGCTTCTTCTGGGGCACATTAAAGAAAAAACTGTTAGTACTGAAAGAAGTGGGGAATTAAAATAGCAACAGTGGCCTGACACCAATTTCACATACAAGCATGTCTGCAAAGACTTTGGAGTCCTTAACAACGAAATCTTATCTGGTTAAGTTTACTTCCGGAATACTCTTAAGGGTGGCACCAGCTTTCTCCTCTTACCATGGTTAATATTTCTCTCCACTTTTTATAGTTTAAAACTGTACACAACGACATTTTAACTTCGGTATAAAGTGTGTAGACTTCTATGGTCTTACCTCTCTCCTGTGTAACCTGGCAGTAATACTGGTTGGGGCAGTGCTGCGGCGCCGTGGATCTGGACATCTGTGGGGCCTGGTGAAAGATTAATTTAATGCTCTTTATAAATCATAGGTATAAAATTTAAATTAGATCCCCTTCTCTGTACAACATTCTAATAATCAACTTATTTTTTTCATTTAATCACATTTTTTTTTCCTGAAACACCCTTTGGAATCTTTAATTAATGGCAGTAAACAGAAAAGATTGAGTAACACATCCAGCATGAAAAGTAAATGCACTAAATCATTATACTTATTTCATACAAAGAAAACACATAATGAAAATTATTCTATATTTTTCAAAATAAAACCCTTAATATCAGAGACACTATACAGCTTCCAACTAAATGAACATGAATGATTCTTTATAAAACAAAGGCACTCACTTGAGCAAAGAAAACGATGGACACGTCACGACAGGGTTGGGACACAGAGCGTGCTGCTCGCGCAGGTACTCCGTCACGATCTTATCCAGGCTGACCTCCTTTTCAATGTGGGTGAGAGATCCATGGCGGAAGTCATGCCTGGAGGTGGTCGGGGAGGAATGTGTCTGCACAGCGAGATGACTGTTTTCTGGCTTCTGACAGGTCCTGCTGACGGGAAACTGAACACCAAGAAATAAGGGGTTGACATATAATTCACTGCAGTGCTAAAATGTCCTCCTCAGAAGACTAAACAAAAGAATCAGATGATGTTCTACTCAATACACTGCTAAAATGACAGATGCAGACCAGTGCTCAGGCATACATTAAACAGGCTTCAGCACATCATTCAACACTCTATTTCTCCACTCACACCAAAGTGCCATTATGCATTTTCAACAGCCTATTTATGGTAATTGCTATTAAATTTTGAACATACTTATTTTGCTTTATATATATATGACAATGAAAAATTGATGAAAACATAAAATTCACTTTTTTGATTCATCATCTCATTTTGAGTTCGGTTTGATCCCAGCAATGTAACTGTACAAACAAAATCGTTAAATGAATATGTTAACCTTAAATCACTGGCAAATCTCAAAATCCAGCACACTCACCCTATTATTATTTATCACAGGAGAAAAGTTATTAGTCTTGCTGCTGATGATGTTCACTTTGATCTGGCCTGGGGTACCCGGGGTACTGGGAGGGGGTGCCCTGGCACCACCACCAGCACCACTGCTGATACTGACACCACTGGTGCTGGGACCAGGCACACTCAACTGTCTGCCCTGAAAGCACACAGAATATAAATAAATTACATGTACTGAAACAAACAATGAGCCAAAATGTTCATTAGCTTGGTGGCTGGATCATACAGGATAATTATCAACCATAAGAACAAATACTTTCAAACAGTTAACTTACAATTTGATGACGGCCTTTGTTAGAAGTTCTAGAACTCTAAGGAATAAATATTTGTCATTTCCTCATAAATCTGATGTGACTCTAATAACATAATGATAACGCATATCAAGATATTATCATCATTTGACACAGCTTGCAATCAATCTTATATTTTCACATTTCATACACTTTATGATCAATACTTTACATAGCCACTTAGAAAAAAAAAAATCTGGGCCATGCATCTTTATCCTACCAAGGTTTTCCCTGAGGTGGTGGGTGTGGCATATATGTGTGCCCCCTCTGGGTGGACCACAGGGGGGGTACTGCACCGCGGCAGGCTGGCCTCTTTCTGGAGGGACCCCGCAGTCTCTGTCAGGCCTGAAACATACAACATATGCAGATCATAGCTTTTGATATTTTTCCTCAAAACAAATAAGTTAATGAATAAATATATGTATTAATAAATTAATCAAAAGATAAATAAATAAAAAGACAACAATATTTTATAAATCTATTTTATATTAAAACTAGAAGTACCTTGAGAGACCAGGTGGTCATGGATAAGCTGCAGCAACTCCTTTTCATTGTACAATATTTTGGTCTGGGCCACAATATCTGCCTGAAGTAGAACGTAAGAATTATATTAACCTGCTGAAGCCTATTTCTTTTGCTTCTTTCCAAAGCAGACAGCCGATAGCTGTAGTTAACTAAAATTTTCAACTCTGCTTCTCTTTCAGTTTCTCAAATATTAAAAAATAAACAATGATCACCATTCCAACAAATTGTTAAGTTTAATTTCAAAGACTGACATCTAAAATCAAAAGTTTTTTTTTATTTTATTTTTAAATCAAATAACTGTACAGTAAAAAGGAGCCCATACCTTCCTGATCCTGTCCAAAGATATATCTATGTTATGGTTGGAAGACCGACCAGACACTCTCTCTATCAGTTCTTTGGCATATTTACAGAACTTGACATGCTCCAGGCGCTTATCTTGGAGCACTGGCTCCTTCATCAGTTCTGAAAATATGAACAATCGGGATTGGAAATGAAAACTTATACATGAAATCAATATCTTTTACCATTCATTTGGCAAACAGCTAACAACTGATTTACACTTCACTTAATAATAAGCAATCAGCTAAGATTAAAAAAAGTTTATAAGGCAAACAAACAGTGTTTCAACAAATTAATTTTGCAAGCAGCACTTGGTGTTAGGATTTTATTTTATACATTCAAAGAAACAATTTTCAGAGCAAAATGGAAAATATTCCCCGTATGGTACACCGTCGTCAGCAACATCTATGTTAGTCCAAATCAATTGTACATGCTCCAAAATAAAGCTAATTGCTTTTTTTAAAAGCTCACTCACGTTGCAGTTGTCCATTGTTAAACAATGGAAGCTTGCTGATGATCTGCTTCATGGTCTCAGACCTTGACATCCCGACCAATGCCTGCAAATAGCAACAGGTAAATTATTCCATGTAATTTAAAGATCTACATCTAAAACAAAATTATTTTTTTACTTTTTTTTACATTTTTCAGAGAGAGAGAGAGAGAGAGAGAGAGAGAGAGAGAGAGAGAAGATACTGGACCCTTGAGCAATATTTCAAAATTTGAAATTTTCTTAAATCTTATTACTTATCTCCTAATGTCTTACTTTACAAGCCAAAGCTCTGATGGAGTCAGCCTCTGTGATAGGTACTTTAATGGTAAGAAGTTTTAACAGCACCTAGAGAAATATTGTAAAATTTAGTATAAAATTAGATAACAAAAAGCAATATAAAATCTATCTTTCAATCTTGGCATTTGAATCATTTATGTAATGTATTCCCTGTAATTAGAAAAAATAATTCATCTGGCAAAAAAAAAAAAAAAAAAAAAAAAAAAAAAAAAAAAAAAAAAAAAACTTAGCTAACAGAAAATAGTTTATGCTGCACATCAAAACGTACACCCCCATTCCAAACATACTGAAGTATGAAATCTATCAAAATGACCTATATTGTTTATAATACAATGCCATAAATATCATAAAAATAAATATACAAATATCAAACAATTATTGAGTTTTTATCTTTGTATACACTCCATAAAATAATGTGCCTCCCCCTCCCTCACCATGATTCCATTATTGGACCTGACACACTCCCACATCTTGACCAGGACATCAGCTCCTGTCTTGATGGCCGTCTTCTTCTTGGCACTTCCAGACACATATCTGGCCACATTACTGCCAAGCTGAAACAATTTGGAAATGACACACTGTAAGTGAGATAATATCAGTCCCAGATGCAGAATTTACATCTTAAAAATCATATAATAATTATAATGAAATAACAACATAAAATACAAGTTAAGTAAATAACTTTCTCCATTTCAATATAAAACATCATGATAAACTACATACAAATGAATTACCATTCCTGTTTGGTTTGGAATTTTAAAGGTAACTTGCGTGGCTTAAAAACTGTGCCAAAGGAATCATCTCAATACAAATTTCTTCCCTGTCCAGCTCTGAAACCTGGGTCACTTTAAAGAGCATTACACCAAAAGGTTCATCATCATCACATGGGTCTTTTCTTTTAAAATGCTGTTCACCCGATATGTGACCTTGCAATGATCTTGACCTGATCTTACCCTGACTGGTGGTCCACACACACAGTTTATAATGACATGGAGGGCAGACTTCTGCACCTCAGGCTCTGGAAGGATGTCACTGTCAGCAAGACCAAACAAGATACTGCGAACAAAAGAAAATACAGCTAAATAAAATGGCAAAGGGAAATTTCAATTCATTACCTAATAGGGAAATGTTACACTCAGCAATGACTTATTTGAACTAATTAATAAAAATCATTTCAATTTTATCCATACACAAGCATTCTTTGACTGTTTATACTTTTTTTTTGTAAATAACACTTCAAGGCACAAAAATAAAATGTGCATGTAAACTACCTTAATACTGAAAATAACTGTCGGTTACAGCATAAAGATACTGCACATGAAGCTACCTTTCTTGTTATAAGAAAAAAGACTTTAGCATTACCTGACAGCAGGGGAGGACACATCCTCAGGCAGAGGTATGGCCTCAGCCAGCTTGAACTGGACCTTGGGTACTGTGGCACATACTCCCAGCACATCCAGTGCAGATCTGATGGTCTCCGCTCTGTTAATGAAAACAACTCCTCACTGACAGATATGTTTGATATTCATAGTTCAGAGAAAAAAGGTCGGCCATCACATCAATGGCATAAAAGAGTGAGTGGTAAAAATTAATTTCTTGCATTTTACTCTTAAACAGATATTTTTTACTGAGAATGAGAAGGGGATAACTGATTTCCTAAACATGGGATTTCTCTAATATCCCTTTGGTCAACAGCACAGGCTGTTTCAAATGAACACAGAAAGCTTTTAATTAGGATGACAAAAATCCACGCCCTCCTTATATGAAACATTTTAATCCATATATCATTAGTGTATACAAAATAAATTACCTTAGCCAAGTTTTTTACTGACTTACTTTCCAGTGTAGTAACTCCACTCTGATGCCATGGCAACCAGCTGTAAGAGGAGCTGAACCCCTCCCAGCTTGTGGAACTCACTGACGGGTTCCCAGTACATCCTGAGAGGCATGTACTCCAGCAAGATCTCCATGTTTTCTTGTATGACTTCTGCTGGGAACTTGGCAGCCTGAAAATCGGATATCACAACATTTATCCAGGAAACAATACTTTCATCTCAATAAACAAAGGTAACCTGACAACTATTATACTGTATGCAAGGATGATCAATGAAATGTTTAGTTTAAATTACTTTAAATTGAAAACACTTATTTTCACTATCAACCTTTCACAAGTATGAGAAAATAATTACAATCCAAAGACTGAACTTTATATAGTGATTTAGAAAAACACCATCAAATAAATCCTAATGTCTCTCTTTACCTTATACGGAGGGATTTCAATCATGGGCATTCCCCCTTCATTCCTGAGGTGGTTTCTGCGGATGTGGTCTGCTTTGATGGCCAGGTGAACCTCAAAGTACTTCTTCAAGGCGACGGTGACGTGGCGACATGCCTGTCTATTAGTGAACACCACGTCTTCATTCAGGTCTGCGTCTTGTAGTTCTATGTTCACTATGGGCAATGTGCTCATCTGAAGAGGTTATTATGAATGCTTAGTATGAAAATATGGCAATGGTTACTATTAGGTTTGGTTCTAGAACAACTGCTATTATTAGTTCTGATTATGAAACTGTAGAATTTGTGGAAAATTATACTTCCTGAAAATCTATTAACATGTAAACATAAAAGGTGGTAAATAAAAGATGATTGCAACCACTTTACTCAACAAAAAGATACAGAAAATCAAATAAATACCTTTTTTTTTTGAAAAATTAAGAAAATATTACAATCATGCCAACTAGAGAAGACTTATCATACCACATTAAACAATTTCCTCAACCCATCTTTCATGTCAAATAACTCCAGGATAACTTTAAATGGAAAGGACAGCCCAAAGAACATAGTGGCATGACACCTCCCTGACTCATGAGAACACTCCAGTAACCACAGAACAAAACTAAAATATCGAGAAAATATAACATGACAAGTACTTTATCATTACAGTTGAAATTATGAAAATTGGGGACCCTTATCTCTTTCATTTGGTTTAAATTATTCTTATTGTTCCTAAGTTGCACAGAACAAAACTGAAATATTAAAATTATAATATAACAAGACCTTCAATATCTTATCATTAGTAGTAATAAGCTTAAACAGTTACTATGAAAGCAGTAGTTTATCAACTCTTTCAATAATTTTGCTTTAATGTAAGGTGTTATCTTTATTGTTCACTTGTATTATCTTTTTTGTTCTATATTAGATGTTATAACTCTTAGGCTATAAAAATTTACCTGACTAGATCTGACAGGACGTGCTGAGGCAGGAGACACACCTATCAACAATGGGAAAATATATTATTACCAGATAAAGATTGCAAATCTAAAATTAAACAAATTATAATTCTGAAAATATTGCCATTTCACTGGTAAGCTAAGAACCAGTCTGCTGAAAAGGGGAAAATCAGCAAAATCTACATAATTACTTTTTCAAATAACAAATTATATATGGACCATCCAAATTTGTATTGAAATTTTGTGAAAACCCTAGCAGTCACATACCCTTTCCATGGCATCTTCAAAGTAGGCCAGGTAGTACAGGCACAGGGAGACCCCTGTTGCAGCTACAGAGGGCCTGTGGACAGCCAAAAGTCTCTGCACACCTCCCAAGTTGATGAACTCTATGGCAAACTTCTTGTGGCACAGGAGAGCAGCAAGGAACTATGGTGACAAAAGTGTCAAGTTAAATGACATGTTAAACTTTCAGCATTTCATCTGTCAAGCTCAGCCACAATATGGCGATACAAAATAGATCAAAAATGAACTTTTTGGATGGAAGGTGTGATACTGCATTGTCATGAAATGTTTAAAATTACCTGTTGGAGTGTATATACTGTACATATATTATAATAATAATATTGATATATTTTCAATTGCAGTATTTTTTAATGTGTCATCTTTCAACACAATTTGCTGATACAAAACAGAATAAAATTTTGTCACCAATATGACCATTTTTGGCAATTGAAACTGCATTTATCATGAAATATCATTTTACCCGTTGAAATAAATATGTATATATATATAATATTAATTTTTCATGGAGTTTTATTATATGTAAACTATACAATATTTATCCAGTGCACTGAATATTACCTTCAAAGCATCAAATGCCAGCCTTACATCCCTGTTCTCTCTCAGGTTGATGTAGTGGAAGATAAGATCCAAAGCTTTGTGTTCAAACATGAAACCCAGCAACTGAAACAAATACCACAGAACCTCAACCATCTTCCTATAGTCTGGATAGCTTATACAAGGCCACAATAAAAACACAACGGAAACTACTAAAAGCCAGCAAAACATCAATATAAACCACTGGGGGTAACATAAATGGAAATCAATATGGGGGACAAAAAAGAGAGGGGAAACAAAATGAAAATTACAAGTGTGAAAGAGCCTAGTTTATATTATTACAAGCAATATTCACATACTTTTCCCTTTAACTCAATCAATCCAGACTTACTGGTGTCAATATACTGAGTGCTTAAACTAAGGAAAATGGTTAAAAAGAAAAAAAAAAATTTCACCAACCTCTTGATACTCCCCTACAGGTGTCAGGTACTGCAGTATCAGCCTCTGCTGCATCTCTTTGCTCAGTGGATCTAGGGTGTAAGATGACCCAATCACAAACGGCTCCATCTCCGCCCAGCTGCTACTACTGCACTCGCCCACTGAAAGATAATATATTAATGTCTCAGTGATAGTTTTTATAAATAGATAAACTCTGGCAGCACACAAAACTATTGATTTAAAATTACTTTTACACTGACCTTCATAATTTAAATTAAAATCAATCACGGCTAGATGGAAATGTGCATATGCATGCACACACACACACACACACACACACACACACACACACACACACACACACACACACACACACACACACACACACACACACACACACACACACACATGCAAACTATGACTCTTGTACTTTCATCTTTGATAATTGTAACATTCATTTTGAATTATTAGGCTACGCAGATCTGAGACATTATTCAGACACTAAATAGTTTAATATATTTGACCAAACTAATAAAATCAAAATCATAATTCATATCAAAAAAAATCACAGCTGTAGCATCTGGAAAGCAATACTTGTAAAGCAACAGCCCATCAGTACCAGTCAATCTTCAAACAACTCTTACTTTCAAATCTCTTAGATTTAAAAGGGCTGGTGAATGCCCCAACACTGAGGGAACTAGGCAACTGGGTAAGCCCCGCTTTTCTCTCCTCATCTCCCTCTCCTTCAATATTTTCTCTCTCAGGAGCTACGGTCTCATTTACACAACTTTCTACTGCGCTACTAGAAGAGCTACTCTTGCCTATGTTTGCAAATGGCCTTTCAGTTAACGTATCCAAGCGTTCTCTTTCTTTCTGGGCCACTGTTGTGTTTTTATTCTCTTTCAGTAGACCATGGAGGCGTTGCAGCATCAGTGGAACCTGACAAGTGAAAGGGATAATAATTACCAATTTTTTTATCACTCATAGCCATTCAAAACAAGGGTGACAAATCACTTGTCTCCTGTTAAATAAACTGAATAACCTTTACATGAGTTTGAAATTCTGGTGAGAAGAACATAATGTTATCATTTTCACAGCATAGTAAGTCCAAACACAATTCTAAAAAAATTATGTGCATATTATCTCAACTGGTTATATAGTCTAATGATCTTGGGTATAACCCACCAAAACAGCATTATGATCCTTAAAGTTGGCAGCGATATCCTGGCTCTCCATGGCACCTGCCAGTAACCCAGTGGCATACGACCTCAGTGGCTCCTCTGCAGTTTCAGACCATGAGAATAATTTGGCAACAACACTCTCCTGAAACATACAGAAACTTCCAGTATTAATAACAAGTGATTATGAATGTGAAAAAAACAGTTATCATGTGGTAATCTAGCTTAGGAAATGGAGTGGAGCCTCTAAACTTAGCCGGGAAATTGAAAATAGGAGGAAATCACTTTGTTTGGCTTTTGAGTGGTCTAAGGATTGAATAAAAATTTGACTTCTGAGTATCACTAAGTACATTTGTTTCAAGATCCTACAGTTTACAATCAAGATATATGCTAGGTAAAATAAATCTACATAAAATAAAGTATTTAATATTTTGTGCAGCAAACTTTGACTTCATCAATATCATGTATCGGTAGCATTTTTGATGGAAAACAGTTCATGTTACACATCTGTATTTTTGCATGACTTCTTATTTACATCTTTTTCCAGGGTAATTTCCCACGGTGCCACCACATTCCCTTTTGTTTTTACCAGTTTCCACAATTTACTTACATTTTCTTGAAAGACTACAGTTGTTTCTAAACCTGGTAGAAGATTGTACAGCAGACGGCAAACCACTGAATGCTGGGATACCTGCTCACTACCGCTCATTGCATAATTACTGACAACCTAAAAACCAATGCAATAAGTTTTTAGTGTTGAGGTACTAAAGAAAAAAGTGTGCTTCAAGAAGCAATTATAAAGAAAAAAAAACAGCCAGATTAAAGAAGTCCTGTCTCTTTTGAAATGTACAATCAATTCTGTGAATTCAGCAAATTACTACAAGTAAAGAATAAAAGAATATTACATACCTTCTCCATAAAATTGCTGTTCTTCAGTACAGCTTTTAACATATGTCCCAGAGCACAATTGGGGTCTGCCCTTCCTGAAAAAGGAATTTCACTTTTTAAATCAAGAAAAAAACTTTTAATAGACACAAGGGCTCACATTTACTTTCACAGGCTCTTACTTACTGTTTTTACTAAATTCTTTTACTAAGAGAAAGCCATGAACATATTTTTACATAAAAATTAGACAAAAACATTAATATCTCATTCATTTAATAGTGATAGACAGAGCAAATCTGTTTTTTTTTTTTTAACAGACTTAGTTACAAAACAAATGTTCAGCTGATGGTAGACAATGAAACAGTATAGGCATTTGTTTCTTTTTTTAAACAAACTGCCAAAAGCATCAAATACATACTACATTAAAGACAAGCATATATGAAACATTTGTTCATGGCTAAAAAAAATAACTTTGACTAGAAAAAAAAATGTACTGATGATATTTTGATGAAAAAAGAAAATACTTTTTTATGAAATATTTTGTATTGGCTAGCTTCCACCTACTGAAGACAGGGATGAGACTTTTAGGCTTCCCACAGTCGAAAGTCTGCCAATAGTTTGAAAAATCTCATTGCTGTTGTAAGCACCAATTCCACTCAAAAAGTTGGAAAGCTGCTGATGGTCGGAAAAATCTCATCCCTGTGAAGATCTTGAAGTGAAATGTCATCTGTCATAGCTTACCAGGATGTCTGTCATCAAAGGGATCTGGGTCGACCCTGTAATATGCATCTGTCTCCTTCTCCAGTAACTGACACAGCCTGGAAACAATCATTATCATGTAATGGCATTAGCTAGTCAAAAACAAAATAAATTAATCAAATTCATCAGATAATGGGAGACTTGCAGCAACCCAAAAACTTGCAGACTCAAGCAGAAGAAATGGAATGAAGCATTCACCACATTCACTTGGTTTTCTGGATTGCAGATAGCACATCATTTAATTTTTGTAAAAGTTTATTTATTCATTTTAAATTAAAAATCAGCATGCCAGTATTCTTTCCGCCTGCCATTAATAAGATACATTCTAGGCCAAATTACCACACCAACTCTACTGGACAATTATCAACTCATAAGCAAAATATTTCAAAATCAAAAATTCTAACACTGATAAGTGGTCATTTAGACATAAGAGATGTCAAAACGACCCGCTTCAACAAAGTTCTGAGCAAACGCTGTCCAAATAGATAATAGTCCGTACCTGTCAAGAATTGGCACCGGATCAAAACCACTTCCATTTTCACGCTCCCACGTTTCAAGAAGCGACGTCACCTCTGCAACCGAGTCTAAAGCATTCCCAGATGACGCCATAATCATAAATTTTCAAATAAGTCAAGAAGAACTATTTCAAAACAAACCGAAATACACACTTGGGCTGTTTTCTAGAAAGATAACAAGTGCACTAAAACATGACTGATCCAGCCTAGGTGGATAACACTACCACATGATTGACAATAATTATTCTAAAACATCAGGAAATACCACAAACGATCCCTTTTCTTCGAAGAAGCATAAAAAATCAAATCATTATAAAAATTTCGCTCGTGCTGTCTTCCATGCTGCTCGTGTTATTAGCTCCGCGCCAAATAATTTCTTTGTATCTGATTGGTCAAAGTCCATAATTTTAGCCAATTGTAATGCAGACTGAGATTGCAGCGATCTAGGGCTGTGAAAACAAAGAAGCCGGTAAAATCTTCTAAATTTTCCAAAAAATCTCCAGGTAAAGAAATGTGTTCAATGTTTTCAGACGTTTATTTTAACAATTTTTTGCAATGCTTCCCGTAGGGTTATAAAAATTAAGGTAACTCTGGTAAATTTTGCTGAAATTTTATATCATTTTTGTAGGTCACATTTATGTGCCCTGGATGCCTGTTAGCATTTTTTGCCTCTATATTTCTCGTATTTTATATTGCAGTTTAAAGAATGTGCAACGAAAGTTTTTTTAATTGTTGAAATATTGATACATTTTTCTTGATGCATGATTAATTCCAAGACAAATAACAATGTAGTTTTCATAAAATTATGGTTTAAATATAAAGACTAATTAATTATTGTTGCGCAGATGTTTTATTCAGTATTCACCAAGAAATAAGAAAATTTATTTTTTAAATTCCCAACAAATTCATGTGTATGAAAATGTATTTATTTTACTACCAATGTATTTTTATTCAGTTCTGTGAAGAACAAAAATGTCTGAAGGTGCATCCCCAAGGAAAAGAGGCAGGCCCCCCAAGACTGGGGGTACAGAACTTGTAAGTTTGGGCAAAACTGTATCAGAAACAAACTGCAGGCTTTTCCTTATGTGTGGTTTATTAGCACATTTCAAGGGACATTCTAACAGTTTAGATTTTTATTCAATTACTTGTAAAGTTAGCAAAATCATTTTGGAAATACTTATATGTCCATGTAGATTACACATTTAAATTCATCAGACAAATACTGGAATATGTATTTTACAAAGCTTTGAAGAGAGGACTGAGAAATATACCAAATCATTTTTAATCTGCACATCATCGTTGTGCAAGTTACCGCAAAGCCCTCTGTCATTCACAGTACTCAAAAGTATACTTAGTCTAGTTCAGATCTATGCTGAATATATATATATATATATATATATATATATATATATATATATATATATATATATATATATATATATATATATATTATGAAGTTCATTATAATATTCAGAGGCTAGATGATAGTTTTATGGTACATGTTTATATATATTTTTTCAACCTTTCAGGAGCCTGCACTGAAAGCACCCAAGGAGGATAGTGTACCAGCTGTAAGTATATGTCAGTTTTTTTTTAGAAAATTGGACTTGTGAAATCAAAGTATTATTGTGCTGATACAATTAAACAGTAGTAAAAAAAAAAAACACTGAAAATCCATTATAATGATGAATTGTGTTTTAGGGCTTAGAAATGACAGTTGAAAGTGTGGGCAACAGTCCTGTTGCTGAGAAACGAGGAAGGGGCAGGCCACGGCTACCAGACTCTGAGAAAAAAACAAAGGTAAGCTATAAAAGAACATCATAAATGCCTCATGTTTCTAAATTTTTAGAATATCATATCAGAGTACACAATATTTGTAAGCTATCTCGTCTCTGTGCATATCTCATTAAATTTTCCAATGTCTTTTCTTGTATGGAATAAAACTGTTGGGTAGCTTGCTTTTCACTTTTGTGTGCAATTCAACAGGACTGTTGTAATTTTAAGAATTATTGACTTAAAAAAATACAGCTTCAGTAAAACTCACAATTACTACTATTAAAGAATGGAGTCATTGTAGTTTGATTTGTAATGGTATATTGTTGACTATAATTGTAGCCTTATGTATCCAGTGGAAGACCTAGAGGACGACCAAGAATCCATACAAAGGTAACATTTTCCAAAGGCACATATGTTTCTTTTTTCCAAAATGAACAGACAAGGAATGAGATAATTTTCCATTAGTTTAAGGCAAAAGGGAGCTTAAATAATAAGCAGTCACTGTAAAAAAATCTTACTATTCTCTCTTGGTTTTATTTTTTCTTCATATTTACTTTGTTTTGTACTCTGCCCCTTCCCATGAGGGTAAGGTGTCTCCTTTTTATTTTCCTTGAGCCATGAAAAAAAGAAAAAAATATTGAAACTATGGTGAAAAGTTAGCTTATATTTAGATGGTACCCTTACGTATATCAAAGCAGTTCCTGCCACTCTTTATAATTTTAATGTTTAATTGTCTGATGTCTCTCTTGTATATTAACAGAGTGATAAACCAAAAGGTCCCAGAGGTCGCCCTAAAAAGAATCCAGAAGCTGTAAGTATTTCAGAGACCATTCCCAGACCTTATCATACTAACTTTGGATGGAACTTTCTCCAAGGGGATTCTCGCTTAATTGCAATTAACTTAAGCGTCTTAGATCGCATTCACAACGAGTTGAGCCATGGCTTTACAAATCCTGGAACTAAATATGGCGGATGTTCATGAAAGGAAAATCGCCTACTAGTAATCTTTTAATAGTCTCTCTGCCTCTCACACGCCTCCCCATGTGTCGTCCCAATGGAGCCGAGATTTAATGACTGTACCCTCGCAGGGACGACGCATGGGGAGGCGTGTGAGAGGCGGAGAGACTATTAAAAGATTAGGCGGTTTTTCTTTCATGTACGTCCGCCATATTTAGTTCCAGGATTTGTAAAGCCATGGCTCAACTCGTTGTGAATGCGATCTTAGAGGTCTTTCACGCCTACTGAAGCTGATGGGGGATAATTAACTATCGTTCAGCAGCTTTAGTAAATGTCCCA